TCCAGGTAAATTGCAATTCTAGAATATGACAGCACTGGAGGATAATGGGTTCCTGATAGATTCATGTTTGATTCTTCTCAAATCTTTGGCAATTAATGTGTGTCTTTTTTTCTCAACATGTTTCTTGCTACCCTGTTGACTATTTGCAAGAAAACATTTGATGGTTCTGTGATCACACCTCAATATCTTAGAAATTCCAAGATTGCTACAACCCTCTGAAAGACTTTTTAAAATTTTTGACTTTTCAAAGTCAGTTAAATGTCTTTTTTGACCTATTTTTGTCTGAGAAAAAGCAGCTGCTGAATAATTATGCACACCTTGATATAGGGTGTTCATCTCCTTAGGACACACCCTCCCTCATTACACAAATACACATCACCTGATATGTTTATGTACACTAAGCATTCAAGTTTATAAAGCTTGGAGGTGGAAAATATGCAAAATAATGATATGGTCAAAATAGTCACTTGCCTAATAATTATGCACACAGTGTAGTTCTCTTCCAGCTACACAGGGATTCTAGGCTGAGCCTCCCTTTCACTCAGGCCCCAGATTCTCCCTCCTCCTACAGGAATCAATTTCTGCTGAATAAAAATGTATCAATACAAAAGTGAATGATCAATACATAATTAGTATATCCAGGTAGTCTGTGCATTTAATGTGAATGAATGAAGAACCAACTGGAAAACAAATAAAGGCTTCCTTTGCCTTATGTGAACCAACTTTATGAGAATAATTTTCTTTTTCACCTCTTATGTTATAGTGCTAGCCTAGTAATTCTTCACCAAAGGTCTAGAACAGCGGTTCTCAACCTGGGGGTCGCGACCCCTTTGGGGGTCGAACGGCCATTTCCCAGGGGTCGCCAAAGCCCTCTCTCGCCCCCCCCCCCCCCTGCCTTCACTCACCCTCACCCTTTGCTGGATCGCCCGGTCGCTGTTCGTTTACCCCGCCCACTCCCAATCTATTGCTGCCTCCGGAGTCCCAGCTAATGGCTAGAGGGGAAAAAAACTTTAAATTCTTGCTGCGGGGCTTCAAAGAGCCGCCCTACTCTCAGCTGTTTTGCGGAGGGCTCTGTTGCTAGCTAGCTGCAAAGAGGTAAATTCCTGGAGCAGATTTTTTCCCCCCCTAGCTATGCTGAGAAAGGGAAATTGAAAGTAAGCAGGGTCTTGGCTGCAACGTGACAAAATGAGGCTTTCTTTGAGAAATGAGAAGAAATGAGAGATTTCTTTTTCCTCACCAAAAAAGGTAGGTGCAAACTGCAAACAATGGGAAATTTAGGGCAAGAGGAAGTTCAAGATTTTAAAACACAGAAGAAAAAAAGCTCTATTTAACTAGGGAATTGTAATAATTGAGATACTATTAATTGTATATTGTGTTGAAAGCAGAAATGGTTAAGTTGTGGCTTGGAGGAATATATGGGGGAAATTATTTGGTTTATTATTATTGGTAAATATAATTAATTGATTTGTAAGAAATTGGATTGCATGGAAATAATTGGAATATTCATGTTCATATTGATTAATATACAAAAAAGGTAGCTATATAACTCATTGATTTATATTAAAATGTTGAATTTGTATTAAACAACTGTATTACATAATTAACCAATGTGAGGATGGATATAAAAATAGATGACAATGGGAAGGGGTATAATATAGAATAGAAGGGAAAAATTGAATTTGATTAAGATTAGAGATGAGGATGAAGGGTAATATTGTTTTTTTAAAAAATAGATGAGGAATAAATATGGTAAAAAGGAAATATAAAAATTGTAAATTTAATTGAAATGACTAAATACTGTGTTGGAAGAAATATCCTTCTGGGTTCTGCTCCAAGTGGGGGAAAAGACACTGGAAACATGGAGACTGCTTGGAACGATGGTTTAATGGTGGACAGGATCACATGGCTTGATGGGGCCCATTGTGTTAGTTTCTGTTGCTATTGTGTTGCAAATGTCCTTTGACAAAGGATTGACTTTCTGCCTCTGGCCCATTAACAAAGGGTGGGGGGCAGGAAGGTGGGAGTTGCTTTGTCTGTAAAATATGCTTCTCCATTTCTCATCCAGGTAGGGAAATATAATATTCTGCCTTTTTAATATTTCCCAAAATATTTCATTCTTCTAGGAAAGGGGTGGATGCTAACCTCCTACAACTGTTTAAATTTGTGAACCGGCCAAATACTCTGTTCAAAGAAAATACGTTGTATGTTTGTATGTGTGTTTCTAATTATTGCTATTTATTGCTATTTGTTCTCTTTTATTCTTTAAAGTTTAACAATTCATTCTTTATCTTAATATCTTAATATTTGTTTGGGGTTGGCTTTCTTCCCTTTCATCTTTTTTATTGTACAGCAATCTTTCTCCTCAAATCTACCACCTCTCTCTTTTCTTTCCTTCTTACTTTCTCTTCCTCCCCTTCTTCTTCTCCTCCCTACTTCCTCTTCCTTTCTCCTTCTCCTCCTCTCTTCCTCCCTCTCTTACCCTCACTCCTACTCTAATTTCCCTTCCCTTCCTTCATCCCTCTCTACTGCTGTATCCTTTTATGCATATGGACTACTCAAAGGGCTGAAAAAGTTATTTTTGACTGGTCCTCGCACTTTTGACCAGTCCTCGAATTTACGACTGTCCTCACATTTTACGTTTTTTGCCCTATCTTATACCATGTTGAAGAGAAGCAGTTGTGAAATGAGTGATATGGTTGTTAAGAATGCTGCACAGGCATAAATGTGAGGATGGTCATAAGTGTGAGGACCAGTCAAAAGTGCGAGGACCTGTCAGAAATGACTTTTTTCAGCCCTCTGAGTAGTCCCTATACATATAGCCATGGCCACCCGGTCACATGACCTCCAAGCCACACCCACAAAATAAGCCACGCCCACAGAACCGGTAGTAAAAAAATTTAGAACCCACCCCTGGTTGGGGGTCACCACAACATGAGGAACTGTATTAAAGGGTCGCGGCATTAGGAAGGTTGAGAACCACTGGTCTAGAAACTTAACCTTTGGGACCGATGTTCAAGAGACTGCTGTTCTAATCACTATAGAGATGCTATGAAATTCAAAGAATGTCTTGCGTTTAGAATTGCTCTGTTTTAAGTTTGAGATGCTTCTACCAATAGCAATAGCACTTAAGACAGTGCTTTACAGCCCTGTCTTAAGTGGTTTACAGAGTCAGCAAGCTGAGTCAACTTTGAGCCTGGTGAGATTCGAACTGCCAAATTGCAGGCAGGCAGGCAGCAGGCAGAAATAGCCTGCAGTAGTGTATTCTAACCATTGCACAACCACAGCTCTCTTCTAGAATGTATTACACTCTTCTAGAATGCATTAAACAGACCATTTCACATATAAAGCATCAGTTTTACAATGGAAGCATAATTTTCTGCAAGATTTTACTAGGTTGAAGGCCACATTTTACCACAAAATTCCTTGGATGATTTGGGAGCAGTCTCTGTAGCTCACGCTATTTCTCAGTATTGTCGCTAGAGAAAAATAAAATAAGGAGAAACTCCTCCTCCCTCCCACCCTGCAAATCATCTTTTTCAGAAAAAAAATGTTACGGTAATGATGATTTAATAGCTGACCAGCTGCTGTAAAGCTGTAAACGGAGATGATTCAATGAGAATGAATCAGATTTAAGAAGCTGTCTGTATGAGAGGCCCTGTGAGGGCAGTTTCTCACTCTGTGTGTGTATTTCTCTCAGTGTGTGTGTGTGTGTGCTTCCTATTACAGTTGAAGATTGATTGATTGCCTGGTTTTGCTTAGCACATGTATGTGTATATTTATGACTTGTAGATAAACTGTTTGAAAGACAAAACCTCTCTGTATTGTATTTTGCTCCTGGGTTGTCTCAAACTAGCAGTCACACTGTGCACACTCTGACAAAAAAAGACAGGCATCAACACAAAATATTAAACAATACAGTAAAAAGCACCTGTTATCTGCAGTCTAATAAAGTAGACTCCAATAAACTCATATGCGAACCAATTCTCTGAAAAGCATAGAAATGTAAAATGTGTATCATTGCCCACATGTGGCCACCTGCACAGTACAGTGATTATTTACTCTACTTTAGTACTGGCTATTCCAGTAATCTCCAGATTTCCCACCCACCCTTCATTATTCTTCTTTAAATGAGCATTCTGGGGCTGATGCTGTTATAGTGCATTCATCAAAACCAAGGCCAGAATCCAGTTCCAGCCATTGAAGGCTAATTATCACACAGGACCAGCAGGAGTCAGCATCCTCACTAACCCAAAACTGCTTTTTTTTTTCAAGAGGCAACTGTGGGCTTTCTGGTTTTTCTTCGAAAACGTTTCGCTTTTCATCCAAGAAGCTTCTTGGATGAGAAGTGGAACGTCTTCGAAGAAAAACCAGAAAGTCCAGTTGCCTCTTGAAAAAAAGCACCTTTGGGGCAACCATGACCTGGATGACTGAGAATCTTCATAGACATCCTCACTGACCCTACCTAAAAACACTTGGAAGGGCTACGCTTAGGATTTCCCTTTCCAGCCACTGCTACCTTTTTTCCAGGGGTCTCCAACCTGGCCACTTTTAAGCCTGGAGGACTTCAACTCCAACCTTGGCCACTTTTAAGCCTGAAGGACTTCAACTCCCAGAATTCCCCAGCCAGCCAGCTGGCTGGGGAATTCTGGGAGTTGAAGTCCTTCAGGCTTAAAAGTGGCCAAGATTGGAGACCCCTGCTGTAAAACCAGCTCTTCTTTCCGACCCTTTCCACCCTTCTGGGACTTCACCACCACCCCAAGCCAGCGTGTCCATTATTCTTAGACGGAAGACCTGCGCCATAGTTGAAGGGCATAGAATGGAGAGAAGTCACCCACCGCCTAACGACCCACCGAGAAGCAGACGCCTTTTACCTTCTTCCCCCCTTCACCCCCCCCCCCACGTTTCGTATCCGAAATTTCCTTCTCTGCCAACTCGAAGGGCCACGCTAATCCCGGACGGAGGCTACCTCCCTGGCAACGATCCCAATCAGACGGGCTCACCTCATTGTTGAGGTTCATAACCTTCGACATGATAACCGTTTCAGGGTCTTCTCCACCGGAAAGAACGCAGCGAGGTCCCAGAGGGGCGGCTTCTTTATCTATACTGCATGCTTCCTCCCAGCACCGCAAACGAAACAGCGCGCGTGCGCTGTTTTTCGCCCGCTCGGCTTCCGGGCGACGCTCTAGCTTTATCTTTATCTTTATGGTTACATAAGAAAGTCACGTGCCTGTAGTATGGGGATTAGCCTGGGATGTTGTACAGAGGGCGCGTTTGAAATCATTTTTATATGAAAAATCGTGATTTAAGGGAGGAATTAGAATCAGACTATGATCAGTTGAACTACGATTTACTTAGGTATCCGAGATAACAGTATCCTATCCCATGTTAGTGTGTTATGGGAATGCAACTTGTGCTATACTTTACACTGGTTTTACCATTGAACGCAACGTTGCCCACTTACGCTCCAGTCGAACCTCTGCAAGAGGTTGCAATATCTCTGCAAGATATTGAGGAACTATTGTGTTCAGACTACCTTACTAAGACAGGCAAATTGATAAAATTAAGAGGTCTTGGTTTCCCACTCTTGCAGTGCTGCTATGACTACAACGTTTTTTAAAAAAATAATCCTAGGAGTCACTAGGATCCATTCACACATTATTTTGATTTCTCTCTTTTAAAATCACATTCACGTATGATGCTATCTTCAGAAACTGGCTTTGGATCTGATCCATAATCATTTATATCACTTTAAATTCTTTGCTTTTACAGCATTTGGTGACATCATATCAGGGGTGAAATCTAGCAGGTTCCGACAGGTTCTGGAGAACCGGTAGCGGAAATTTTGAGTAGTTCAAAGAATCAGCAAATGTCACCTCTGGCTGGCCCCAGAATGGGGTGGGAATGGAGATTTTGCAATATCCTTCCCCTGGAGTGGGCTGGGATTGAAGATTTTGCAGTATTCCTCCCCTGCCATGCCCACCAAGCCACGTCCACAGAACCAGTAGTAAAAAAATTTGGATTTCACCACTGCATCGTATGCTATCCTTTACATTTTAAAACAATATTTTATGTATCAGTTCTGAAAATGTATGCATGAATGTTTCAATTGTAAAGACTTTGGTATCAACAGAACTATGATACAATGTGGATTGTGTAACCATGGTACATTAGTGAATTTATAATCCCTACAATTTACTTTTTAAAATAATCAGGTTATCTCATGACCATCTGTGTACTAATCAGTAGTGGTCCCTAGGTGGCATGGTTTAGGATAATTAGTCAAATATTTCTGTGTTGGGTTGTAGATTAATGATTTACAAACCTTTGGGTGGCACTGTTGTTTAGGAATTGCATTATTTTGAGTTATACATCTTGCTTTTCTCTTTTTAGAATTTATGTTTAACACTTGAATGTGTATCTTTTTTGGGAAACAAGGCTTGAGTGACTTGCCACGTCATAACAATTGTCTATTTAACATAAAATCCTGTGTATTGATAGATGGATGTCTCAGACAGATTCACTGTAGAAAATTATGATAATTACCATCTCTTATTGGTAAATTTCTAGTCTCTGGCATTAAGAAACATACTGTCTAACAAACAAAATGTTGCTGTTAGGTTTACAGTTCTGCATTGGTATATTTACCTTCCATGTTTCACCTATAGTGGTGAATATTCATGTACTAGCTGGACGCCCGTGCTTTGCTACGAAACTATGTGATCGGGCATGATAAATTGACACTTAAAGCCTGAAATGTACAATGTGTAACTCCACAACATCAGAGCATGTTAATATAAGGCAACTGGCAGTTGGAACAGAGGGGGAGGGGAAGTAGAATGTACCAGCCCACAGGTCAGATGAGTCATGCACTGGCCATACCCACGCCCGGTTTAGCAAAGGGGTAGCATCAGAGCATGTTAATATAAGGCAACTGGCAGTTGGGACAGAGTTCTTTTCAGGTGGGGTGGGGGAGTAGAAGTCTAACTCCTTAGCATCAGAGTATGTGAATATAATACTGTATATGAAATAATAATGATCTGATGGTGATTTTGAAAAATCCTTTCTTAGCAAGCACCTAGAAGCCAAGAGGAACATATGTGGCAAATTTCAAGTTTGTAGGCTTTACCGTTCTGGAGATTTCGTGATGAGTGAGTGGTATTTGGCATATATATATGCCAAATATATATATATGCCAAATACTGGCATATATATATGCCAAATAAATAAAGATAGATAGATAGATAGATAGATAGATAGATAGATAGAGATATAGATAGAGATGATATAGATAGAGATATAGATAGATAGATATAGACTAGCTCGACGCTCATGCTTCGCTACAAAACTATGTGCTTGGCTTGATAAATTGACACTTACCTGAAACTTAATGTAGAATGTGTAACTCCGTAGCATCAGAATGTGTTAATATAATGCAAGTGGCAGTTGGAACAGGGGTTGGGGAAGTAGAATGTCCCAGCCCACAGCATCTATCGGTATTCATCTGGCTAGCATCCTGTCAGAGAGGATGTGAGAGAGTTGAGGGGTGTTTGGAAACTCAAACAGTATTTGCTGTGTGAACAAGAAGGAGACAGGAAGGAGGCTGGGTGTGGCTTAGCTCAACTGTTCTGTAGTAAAGCTGCTTGCTGCTGTGAAAGTAAACTGAAACTGAAAGTCCTCTCTGCTTGTGTTTTGCATTTGAAACAGATTTCTTTTGAGGTTGGGAGGGGGAGTAGGATTCCTTAGCATCAGAGCTTGTTAATAATAATAAAGGAAATACTAAAGCTTTGATGGTCATTTCGAAAAATCTTTTCTTAGTGAGCACCTAGAAGCCAACAAGAACATAGGTGGCAAATTTCAAGTTTGTAGGCTTTACGATTCTGGAGATTTCGTGACTAATGCATGAGTGATTTTCCCTTTTATATATATATAGATATAAGCCACAATTGCAGCATCCCATTTTTTGCTTTTTTAGCAGTGATCATAGTTTCTTTGCAAACATATAGAGCTTAAAAGATATTGTGAAAGCAATGTTGATGATATTGTTTTCTTATTTTCTTAACCCTTAGTTAAGGGTATGGCTAGAGTAGGAAAAAAGTTATCTGTAAAATGCATTTTACTGTTTCTATAGTAGTGCAATATTATAGCACATAATGTTAATTAAGATAAGCTCAAGATAAAGATGAAAATATACACCAATGTACTCTAAGCCTTTCCTTACATATGTTGTTAGTGTAAATTCCTCAAATAATTCAAATCTTTCTGATGTTTGTTGTTATTTTTGTTAATCCTGATCAAAACTTTTTAATCTATTTTTTCATGCATTTTTAAAAAACCAACAAAAGGCATAATTATACTGGATCATTGTCACAAAATAATTAGGTTAGCAGATCTGCTGTCACAAAACTCTGTGGAAAATTTCATAAAGAAAATACACTGAGGGTCTGAAATCCAGGGTGATTTATATACTACCTTCAAATGTTAATAGAAGTTCCAGTGATTGTTTTTTATGCTAGATCATATTTAGCCATCCCACTTATCTGGTAAAGAATAACCTTTGTTATTATTTGCAAAATTAAAATCAGATATATGGATTGTGATTAATAAGTTCATAATGTGTCATAAGTGTATAATATTGTAATATATGATCATCTTACTTCCTATTTGTATGCAATTTACATGGACATCCAGCAAAATTCATCGTGTCTTTCTTTCAATAAAGTGGGTACAAGATCATCACCTAACTGCTAACTTCTGAATTAAATTTAAAAGAAAAAGCAACTTATTTATGTTTCCTTGACCAAAGTTTTGAAATATGGCATCATTTTCAGGGCAATGAAGAGAGAAAGTGGCAGACATTCTTTAGGGTATGGCAATAAGTTTCTAGAAACTGAAATAATACCCAGGAACTAATGGTTAGGAATAAGCACATATAAGAAGCAAAGGAGATGAGCAAGCAAGCAAACTATTTTTAATAACTCCTAGATGCTATTACATGATAATGGACTTCTTGCCACTTGTTTCTCAGTCTTGGAAATGGAAGACTCTGAAAGTAGTGCTGATATCGTTTGCAAAATGTGCATTATTTCAGTTACCTGGTTTTTATAGGACAGTCCATTGGAAAGCCACAAGAGTCTTGTAGATAGTAATAGCTCCCACATGAGAACCAAAATTCTCAGTCCCCCTGTTTCTGCTGTCTTAACCACTCCACCATTCATCCATATATATATATATATTTAATCCAGAACTTCGGGATTTGTAGGTTAATGCAAAAATTGGATGGATAGATGTGGTGTGAACAATACAAGAACAACTATGATCACTTATAGATCATATATATAGGCTGATTTATTCATCTCTAATTCTTAGGGAACTTAAACCTGATTTCTCTCTTGTTTGTTCTAGGACATAATTAAGGCTTGAATGTTCTATAGTTGCCATAAGCAACATGGTTTGTTTTAACAAAAGATTGCCAAGTCTTAAAGTCTGCCCAGAAAATGTCAATTATTGAGTTTGTGCTTTTTCATCATATGAGAATAAGAACCTTGCACAGAGTCGTGATGATATTTTTATGGTTAACTTTTGGTGGTTAACTTTTAAGAAGATTAATTTTGCTCTACTTAATGTATATGCTACACATTGTGAAAAGCATCCTGAGTTGATAGGCAACATTATCAGTACATAAAACATGCTGAAATTAAAAAGAGAATAATGCAACATAAAAAATAATACAATCAGTGTTTATGAATAGTATCCTTTTACTCTATGAAATGAGAGAATGTATACAATAATAAAGCCTACCAACAAATATTTGTTCTAGAATGGTTTGGGGATGGGATAGAAACTAAAATATTTTGGCTCTTTAGAACAAGTAATAAATCAAATTTATATAAAAACATTGTTATTCAAAACTACTTTCTCAGGACTACAGATGATGGTTTGAGACAAAATATTGCAAGTAATTCTTGACTTTTGACCATGTATTCAGCATTAGGGTTAGGGTTTCATCAGGTGCAGATAACCAGGAACAGAAGTTGAGTTCAAAGCACTAAGTTTATTATTGCCCTAGAAATTACAAGAATCTGAGCAACTTATGGTACAAGCTAAATTGGTGCTAGATAAGAGTCAACGGAATTCATGGGAG